CTTGCCTAACGTTGAATCCACAGTGCCGATGTCGAATCCACGATGATGAGCCACTCCAGAATCCACCAAAGCTTCAAACTCGAATTCCACAGAATCTACCGAAGAACAACACCCTCTTTTGTATTGAATAAACAAACAAACCTTTGATGTATACTTCTTAAACCATGAGTTGAATACTCAATCAAACATCAATGAAAACTAGCAAAATAGCCCCAGATATAAACCCTAATATCCAAGAAGAAGATCTAGAAGCGTAACCCTAAATTTGGACTGAAACACGTATTTATAGAAAACTGTCCCGCGATCTCCGCTCGAGCGTCAGATTGGCCGCTCGAGCGGACCTACGCTCGAGCGCGAAAAGTTCCGCTTGAGCGAGAAAAAACATATTGCAGTATTTTTGCAGGCGATCAAACTTCTGGAACCAAGGATTCTCCACTCGAGCGGGAGAATGTCCGCTCGAGCGAACAGGCAACTTGGAATGCATCTTGAAAGTATTAACATCACAAACTTCTCTGTAAGGCACAATTCAGGTTGGATTCGCATCTAAAAACTCATAGCCTCACTGAAATAAAAATGCGAAAACAAATACAACTGAAAGGAGTTTTGTCAAACGGGATTGCCAAAAAAAAAACCTAACAAAGGGGATACATGGAGCCGTGTGAAACAGAGGTAAATTTAGAATGACATTAAATAAAATAAAAGAACAAAGTTTCAATTCTAATTGCAATGAAAAAAAGGGATAAAGAAGTGGGGTTGGAAATAGCTAGGGAGGGTTGTTATTTTGTATATCAAATCAGTGATTGTTACATTACAGCTTTTGAAAATTGGAATAGTCATTTTGTTTTCTTTGGTGCTGAAGCTGAAATAGACAAAATGCAAATAGTAGATATCAGTAGAGGAAGTTTCAAAGGATCTTGTTTAAAGCCAAGAGCAAAGTCAATAAATTCAAGCTCTTTACAAAATTTACACTTAAAGATTTTAATTGCAAAATTTACAAAATAAAATTTTACACTTACAAATTTTAAAAATATTTTTTACAAATTTAAAATAAAACTTTAAAATTTAAATTTAGATAGAATTTTATTATAATTTTGTCAAAAATAATACATTTTACTAAAACAATCAAAATTTTCAAATTATTTTTGAAAACACTCTCTCTCACAAGTTAATAGAGGATTTTTTTTCTAATTTTTTTAAGATTGAGTTATTGGAGGATAATATTGAACTTTTTGTCCACTTCTATGTAAGATGTTTGACCTCCTTTCCATGGAGTTTTGTACCAATTCCTCTTTCTAATGATAATGCTACTGCAATTATAATATTTTTTACAAATAAAATTATATTAAATGATGTGGTAAATTGAGATTCCTTTTTTTTCAAATATAAAATTCATTACTTAATCTCATAAAATTCATACTAACGATAATGGACTGTTAATAAATAGAAGAAAAAAATTGCAGGAAGAGCAATTTTGCATTTCCACTGCTTTTTGTATGAATTCTTCAAACACCAAAGTCACTGGATGAAAACTTTCTTTCTATTCTTTTCTTTTTTAAAATTTTCCATAATTTATTCTTTAAACAAAATATTTTTTACAATTACTATCATCACATCCTAAAGGTTCCTCACAATCTATAAGAATTTCATGAATACATAACCAAAAATAATAAGTTGAAGTTAGTCTTACACAACTTCAACAGAGGCAACTGATCTCATAGAAAATGATCTGTTGGCACCCTCATTTTCTATGGAATAAATGATTAAGGCCTTCACAATCTGCCTAAATCTCCTCTTGTAAGTTGGAAACTTTGATACACTTCGAATCATTCCCATCATCCTGACCCAAAAGACTATATATCAGTAGTGTTCAGAGAAAATTTAGCCTTTTACAATGTAATAAAAAAGAAAGCAACAAAAAAGCATATCTGAGAATATCATATGGTCTATGACATGAACCCAATTTTTCAGAAGGGAAATCAATCACACTCAATTGAATACGACTCCAACGTCAATTCCCCTTATCCATGGCTTTAATTTGGCTTTACCTATTGTCCCTAACACCCATGTTAACCCCTACCCAATTCTCAATTCATGGACCTTTTAAAGAGTAAAATTCTTGAAATTTAGAGTTGCTAAATTTCTCAAAATTTGAGTGGGGCCACAGACCCCGTTGGTCTATGCTTAGGCTCATGTCCTATAGCTTCAAAGAGCTGTGGGCTAATGTCCAAACATCAAATGCAAGCAAATGTGGTCACTACCAATTTCTGGTTGATTTTCAAAATCATCGAAAACCATGTTTTTGAAAATCAACACTCATTAAACCCATTTCATAAATCAAAATCATGTCAGAAATCAAAACTCATTTCAGATCCAAAACTGAAAGATGCATAAGAAAAACAAAAAAACAGACGGAACACCACAAAAACAAACACAAACCCAACACAAACATATCAGTTTTAATATTTAGAAAAAACAAATTCAAATTCAAACCCAAATCTTGGAAACACAAACCCAAATTGATGTATATAGTGTCTTTGTATGCCATGCTTCAACTTTTTCTGGGTTTAGTGTGATTCCATTCAATACATGGATTAAGATTTAGAAAACACAAACCCAAACCCTCCGCAAGATATTTTTCTTGCCAATCATAAAAGCAAACAAAGCCAAAGTTGATTTCATTGGGCCATAATATTATAACCGATATTTAACAGGGTCGGGTGGATTAACTAAGAGTCAATTACACAAATCACTTTAAAAAAAATGTGTATATCAAGCCTTACAAATTTAATCATAATTACTTCAATTTCATTTTAGTAAGATTTAAAGATCAAAATCAATACATATGGTACATAAACATTGAAATAATAACTGTAAAAAATATATGCCAATAGTTTTTTAGTTGCACTTTCGGGATTTTTAAAAAATACCCACAAGGATTGATGAGTTTGAAAATTACCACATAAAAAAATCAAACAGATTCAAATATTTAAAACTGCTTAAACAAATGCGGCTTCTATTCATCTTCTTCATTCATAAATTACGAACATTTACGTTCGCAATGGTGTGCAGCCACTGCCAGATTCACTGTATTTTTTTCTTAATTAATTAGTAAACTGAATTGTTAAATGATGGGCAACTATCACCCACCAAACTCAAACAAAACCTGCTCACCTAATGATATACGATATCTAAAGGTGACACTCTTGTGACTAAAGAGTTCATATTCAAACACATATTATTATATGTGAAAAGTTGCAGACAAATTGGTTTTGACAAGCAAGAAAGTCTCAACAACACAATTCATGATTTTTTCCTATATGTTTTCATTTCAGTTTTGCCCAATGTCTTCAACAGCACAAGTCATGTTTTCTAGTCATAGATGTTATTTTCATGACAGCAACAGTTGAATAAAACTTTTAAGTATCATCTTCACACTTTCTAGTTTTTATAATATTTTCACCATAAAATCCTTTCAAAATCATCGAGGTGGCAATCTTGCTGATATTATTTAGAAAACTAATTGATTGGAGATGTCGTGTTAGTAGTAAAAATAATCCCAAGTCAAATGCTGGTTTTCTTTAGCAAATATAAGAATGATTCATGTCAAAGTGACAATCATTTTTTTTTCTTTTAATTTTCTTTTTTTTTTAATTTGTATTTTTATTTTTATGTGCCGCATCCAGTGGCGGAGCCACATGGGGACTTGGGGGTCACGTGCTCCTCCTGAATTTTTCTTCTTCTTCTTTTTATTTATTTATTTATTTTTTTAACATATGTATATAAATAAAATTTTAAGCAAAAATAATATTTAGAATAAAATGTCAAGGGCATTTTTAAATTTATGAAAGCAATAGTGATTGTGTTATTGAAAATAAAGTGACTATAACAAATTATATTTTTATGTATGAAAATTTTGTGAAAAAATCTTAATATAAAGGTAATATTCATCATTATTGATATGCAAATATAATTAATCTCACTATATATATGTAAAAATTACTAGAGTGTTAGTTATATTTGCATGTGGAGTTCACCATTCATATGTTGCTTTACTATAGGTTGGTGATATCATATATCAATAATGACGTGATATCACTATTATATAAGATTTTTACTCAAATTTTGTAAAATTTTGATTTATCTTACCATTATATAATATATTTTACGACTTAAATATATGACTTTTTTATATTGTCCATGATACACTAGTTACACGCAACACTTTCTTTTCGATTTTACTCGAAGTTAATTATAAAATTTTATATGAAATACTTTTGTAATAATTTATTTAAATTTTTGTTAATATTAATTCAAAAATTATTATTATCTTCTTATTGTTGGTTATGGAAAAAAGAAATTAAAGTTGTAATTAATAAGTGTCCCTTCTGATTTAGTTTCCTGACTCCGCCACTGCTTGTCAGGTTCATTTTAAGACCAATTTCGATAATCGGAATCATTCACTTTTTACGACTTGTTAAAAATAATATTCATGTAAAAAAATTAAAATGATTAGATATCGGTAACTATATATTTGAAGAGTAACGCTATATGTACCAATTTGTACACTAAATAGTGTACCAATTGATGATGTAACATAATTTAAGATATTTTTAATATTTGTAATTTGTATAATAAGTAGGATTAATAATAATATCATAATTAGTGTTGGTACACTAGTTAGTACACTAATTGATGCATGTAACACTATCTATATTTTAATTATATTTATTTTTAAAAAAATAGACGATAAATATAATTTTAATAATTGAGATAAATTTTTTGTAATACAAATTTGATATAGCTATCAAAGTCCAATTATCTTCATTTTTTCTATAAATATTTTACTCAATGAATCTTAAATAATAAACGATTCAAACCACTGAAATTGATTAAAAAATGGATCTATTAAATCTAAATACTCTCTTAAATTAAAATAGTCAAGAACTCAAACTTTTTTTATAAAAAAAAATTACATGAACATTATACCTGAATGAAAGCTAAAAATGATAAAAGAATTAAATAATAAATAATATAAGAGATACGCATAGTAATACCTGAGCAATGCATCCACCGAGACCCATGCCCTCAAAGAATTGATGGAAGGTAAGAGCCGCCACAAGAGCCTTTATCGTCTTCACATCTTCCGAAGTACCCAATGATATTCCAATAATCACCGAGTGGACCACAATTCCCAATTCCAAAACCTTATTTAAAAATCACCCACAAACATATCATTACCAACCATCCATTGCTGTTGGGTAATTCTATTTACACATTTTTACTTATTTTAGTATGTATTATTTATTCAGTTTACATTATATATAAATTAAAATTTTTAATTTTATCTCAATACATATTAATAATTTTTAGATAATACTAAACTACCCTCTTCTTCTCCAACAAATTCTAACACTAACCATTGCCGACAACCATCACCTCCTACTTGCATCGATTCTTTCTCAGCCCCTCTCAACTTCCCACGGTTGTCGCTGCCCCTCCCTAGCCTTCTCTTCCTCCTGCCACTACTTCCTCCTCTAGGAGATTGAAACCTAGATGATGAAATAAGGTTTTTTCAAGCAAAGAGATGGGAAATTCTTAAGGGTGGGTGCCCCTCTCTATAATCTGTACCAAACAGAAAAAGAAGCCTACGATTTTATCTTAATATCTAAATTTCAATAACCCTTTGGGTGTGTGAGTTTGTATGTACTCAGCACTCTGTACTATGTATCTATATATATATATATATGCATAGCTCTGTGTGGTTTTGAGTTGGGTTGTGTTGGGTTGGGTTAGGTTAGGGTTGGGTTCGGTTCATCAAATCTAGATCCTTTTAGAGTGATTCAACCCTTCTGCTGCATCATCATCATCAACCACATAACAACCAACTATACTATCTTCTTTGTAAGAGGCTGTGATGACAGTTTTTCTGGGTTTTCAAATCAGGCCTTGAGATTTGGATCCGTTTCATGGCGGGCAACTCGGAAGGCCATTGAGAGAGAGAATAAGGGGGAGAGAGACTAGATCTGGTTTTCTCTCTCTCACTAGGCAACCATTGTTGCAGCCATGGTGAAGTTTAACTCCATTATCAACCTGATATCATAGCAGATTTGAGCCTCACTCTCTTCTTTACCAGAAATTTTATGATTGTTTTGCACAATTTTTAGGATGATTGTTTAAAAGTGACAGTTTTACAGTTTTAATTAAGAAAATTGAAGTTAATTGAAGCCTCTGTAGCAAATTAATAATAATTTTTTATTTTTCCCTTGAATATTTTGTGGAAGTTTAATGGCTATACCATGTGCCTGTTTGAAATTTTGACATTGACAATTAAAATGATATGAAGATTTTGCAGAATATACATATATCTATGAAGGTGGTGATGATAGGAAGGGAGGGAGGTGACTATCGGTGATCGGCAATGGCAAAGGTTAGGGTTGAGTTAGGAGGGAGGAAGAAAGGGAGGGGTGTGTTGGTAATTTGATTGAAGTATAGAAATGTAATAAAAAAATTTAGAGAGAAGATGTATACTGAGTTAATCAAGTGTGTGGAAATAGAATTTCACATTGCTATTCACATCATCACAAATTAAAATTTCTCATCACAGAAATCTAAGCCAAACATCTACCAAACCACTTTTCATTTAACTGCTAACAAATCATAATAACAATATGAAAAATTGCAATTCGATAGTCTTCTCACAAAATATTTATAAATTTATATAAAAATAATAATTATTTAAATTATTTAAATTGAAAAAATTTATTACTGATTTGTAATATTTTTGTTTCAAAAACACATGAATGCAATTTTTCCATGAAAATACATGCCATTTGCAAACTCAATTGTCTTTGCAAACAAATTGGCATTATTTTTCTCTCTTTTTTATTTGTTAATTATACAAAAATTCTTTATTATTAATGAATATCACTTTACTCCTTAATTTATAAATCTATGCATTTAGATTTGTTCAATTATGAAAATATATTACTTTTGCTCTAAACCACCTTAAAAAAGAATATACTTGCACAACTTTAATAATTAAATGAGTCAATATATATGAATTCATAAATAAATAAAGTAAAGTTGATATTCGCTATAAATGAGTCCAAGTATATTATTCAGACTTTCTTCTTCTTTTTTTCAATAAGGAGAAGAATGTTTACTGTCTTTATTAAGCAAATTTAATAATTAACTATTTATAAAAATCTAAAAATACAAGTAAAAACAAACAACCAAAAAAGACAAAATAATCAATAATAACCTACTATGATTGAATCCTGATCTCTCAATTGAGAGTGGTCTACCGAGTAGCCCAATTGGTTCATGGCATTCCCTTTGTTGAGGTAAGATACGGTGAAATTTAAATTTTAGAATCCCCTTAATAATAATTAAATGATTAATTATACCATTAGTTAATTCAATTAAAATTACATTGGGGTAATTTCCAAAAGTGACATGATCTACCCTACAAGAGTCACCAACATGACAACAATTAAAAAAAATTGAAAATGCCATCATCCATTATGACCGAATAAATATTTACATAAAAGTGTTATAATACAAATAAAAAAGCATATATAATTCACATATTCAATGATATAACTATATGAAGGTGTTGTTTGGAAATTAAGTATTTTAATTTTTTTTTTTTTTAATGTTTGGTAGTGGTAGCGATGGAACGAATATGGAGGGAGAGGTAGTGGCATGATGGTGGGGTGATGATAGCGGTGGTGGCAATGGTAATGGTGGCGGCGATAATAGTAGTATAACGACATTAATAAAATTTTAATCTGAAAAATATAATCTATCTTTTAAAAGTAAAAAACATTTTTTTATCTAAATAGACTTATTTTTTATTAATTATAAAAATTATTTTCTATTTATTTTTATTTTTTATTACACCAAACAGTAGAATATATATATATACATATATGTTTTCTTTTCGAGTTTGGAGATGCTGCTGCGCGGGGTGTGCAACAGTATCTGTTGTGCGCAGAAATGAGCCAATTTCAGGACCCATTTTGATAATCCGAACCGTTCACATTTTAGAGTACATCAAGTAGAATATACCTGCAAAAAATCAAGTTAGTTGGATATCGTTTACCTATTCATCTACTTACATTTGTATTCATTTTAATATTTTAAATCACAATTATTATTTATTTTTGTAGATAGAAATGTGAGTGGATGAATGAGTAAACGATATCTAATTAATTTAATTTTTTACAAACATATTCTACTTGATATATTCTAAAATATGAATGATTCGAATTATTAAAATAGGCCCCGAAATAGGTCCATTTCGACGCACAATAAATGCTGCAGCAGCGGCTCCAAATCCTTTTTTTCCTACCCAACCGACATAGCGTAAAACTAGTGAACAATAAGAAACGTATTTAACAGCATCTATAATCCCTAGAGAAACAGAATCTAAAATTATGGATATAAATACATGTAGATAATAATTTATCTAAATAAATTTGAATAATTTGGACAAGACTTCATAAATGTAATATTGTTAAAAAGATATATATATAAATGTAATAGTATGCATATTTGAATGGAAAATGTTTGGGATTATAATTTTTGTGGTAATAATGGCTGAAAATTGTCAATACGATGTCATTTTGGTATCTTTTGTATTCAAAATGATGTCGTTTAGATAATTTTAAACCATTATAATCACAAAAATTATGATCTTTTAACATTGTTGTATTTCGATATGGTAAGAATAAAAATAGTGAAGGTACGAAATAAATTAAAATAAGTATGGTACCTGAGATATGACACGGTGTCGAATAAGTTCAGCGACACCCGAGTCGTGTGACGAAAGCACGGCGGCGGATCCATGAGCATGGCCGTGAGTGGCGTGAGTGTGAACATGAAGAGCGCCGCCGCCGCCGTGATCTCCACCTCCATCCTCAACATTGACAGTAGTACTTCCGGCCTTGGCATGACCATCATCATCATCGACCTTCCCCTTAAAATACGACGTCGCAAACGTATCAATCATCAGAGTTACGATCGCCGCCATCATCGCCACGAAACCGGTGAAAGGAAACTGCCAAGCTTCTCCGGTGAGACACGGCGAGGTCAGGTGGTCGAAGGCGTCGGGAAGGACGTGGATGAAGCCGGTGGCCAGAATCACACCAGCGGCGAACGCCTTGATGATGAAGAACACGTCCTTTTCCGGACGGAGCGCCGGTACGGACCTGCCGAGTACCGGAAGACAGACTCCGATCGCTCCGGCGACGAGAATCGAAGCTATGGCCGCAAATTTGTACCTGAATGCTTGACTCTTGTTTCCACCGTTGATCGTTCCGGCGTCGCAAGTGCAGTCCCCGAGAGCTGTAGTGGGAAGAACTAGAACTACGAAGAGGGAGAGAACGAAGATTGAAGTGATGTTCATTGTTGAATTATAAAATTGATTGATACCAGAGAAGAGTGACAGAGTACTGTTACTCTTATAGAGAGAGAGTGAGAGAGGAGAGAGAGAGAGATTTAAATGGAATTGAAAAGCTATACGTATAGACAATTAGACCAAGTTTGGCTAACAAAAAAAAAGTGTACTTATTTTATCTTTTTATTTGTTTTTGGATCACATCAATCAATATTTTTTCTCTATTTTTTCTACACATAATATAAAAAAATTAAAAAATACACTTATTTAATCTTTCCAAACTTGACCTTAGTGAAGGAATAATGAGGTCATTTGATAAAATCCACAGGTCTCGAGTTCGAGTCACACCTTGGGGCCACTGGAAGTTTGCCCGGTCGTTAACTTCAGGGCCCTGAGATTAGTCGAGGTGCGCGAAAGCTGGCCCGGACACTCAGTTATCAAAAAATTTGATTTATAACAATGGTACGTACCTTAACAAAATATAATTCTCATAACTCTACTCATTGGTCCAGGAAAATAAAAAATAAAAATATATGATTAGTTTCTATCATTTTGAAAGTTATGAAGTCCTCAACTTTGACGTCCCAAATATTTTTATTTGATTTATGGGAGAATCCCATTGCAGCTAAGCAAGTTAATTAAAATAGTATAAATTATATTGACACTCCTTAAGTTTTGTCTAATTACATTGCACCCTTGATATTTTGGAAATTATATTTTTACTCTCGTAATTACTAATCTCATTTCATAAACTCCATACTTATATAAAATGTAACAATTCTTAATATAAAAATAAAGAAAATTACATTAAAAAAAAGTAAGTAAAAGAAAAGGAAAAAAAAACAGAGGAAGTAAAGCAAAGTAAGAAAAGAGAGAGTGTATGAGTTCAATATTTTCATTCTGTTTAAATAATTATAATAACAAGGGATGGTGTAATTTTTCAAATGTTAGGAGGTGACATATATTAAACTCAAATCTCGGATGGTGTAAGTGTAATTTACCTATTAAAATATTATGGATTTGATTTTTTTAAGTTGTCATCTCAATTTGAAACGGGTTTGATAGGTCCATTTTGAAACTAATTTTGGTAATTCAAACCTTTTATTTATTTGTTCATTGAGTACAATATTTATCTAAAAAATCAAGATGATTAGATGTCAGTAGTTATATATTTGAATCATATTTATTTTTTAAAAAATAGGCGACAAATATAATTTTAAAAATGACCATTTATTTTTTATAATATAAATTTGATTCAAACATATAGCTATTGATATCCGATTATTTTAATTTTTTGCCTCAGTATTCTATTCAACGAGTCATAAAAAATGAATTATTCGAATCATCGAAACGGGACTTGTGATGGGTTTCACAGGCCTCTCAAGTTCTCTTATATGGAGATTTCAATATGAAAGAAACTCAACCCAAATATTATTTTCAAACTTTGTTTTTCTTAATTAATTTCATTTTCCAAACTTAGTGCAAATCTACACTACATATGAGAGATTTGTCCTCTAACAAAGGGTGGCAAAATTCCTCCACCCAATTGCATTTGTTTTAATTCGATTTTAATTTAAATGATTTGAGATAATGTTAATTGAATAGGGTAAAATATAGTGATAAGTAAAAATTATCAATTCATAGTAAAGTATTAAATTACATCATTAAAATAATTGAGTTTAAAAATAAATATTCGCATGCAAAACCCCCGATTTGTTGCCTTTTGTCTTTTTGACTGAATTTCTCTTAAATTTAAATTTAAATTTGATTGCTCGTGCGGCTCATCACGAATTCCCTCCTCCCTGTTTTAATTGGAAGTGGTTCTATATCTAAGGAATCCCTTGAAGAGATAGGAAAGCTGGCATCTTACCTAGACGGTAGGCTCAAGAGATCCACATCTTTTGGATCAAACAATTCCATTTCTCTCTTGTGTTCCAATTATTTAAATTCTTCATTTTGTAATATTCTTCATATATATTATTTATAAAAAAATTGAATCAAACATATAATTGTATTTTTTTTATCGCATTTATGATAAAAAAAAGATAAACAATTGTGTTTTTACATTTTTTTAAAGAGACAAACGAGATAAAATAAAATGTTATGATTATCAAATCGATTTTTTTTTAAATGATATATACTGACATCTCTACAAAATGAATAATTTTAATCATCAGAACAGGTCGTTAGTGTGCCCCATAAACTTGAACAACCATTTGTTTCTTTTCTGTTATTTATTGAACTTTTATAGTTGTCACTATAATTCTTCTGATGTAATTTTTTTAAATGGTAAATATCCTCATGTTGATTGAAAAAAAAAAAAAAAAAACTTTGGACATGATGGATATTTTTTAATTAATTTTGTGGGTTATGGGGATAAATAATGCCTAGAGATTATAGGCTGGTTAGTAATACATATAACATTTAATGAGATAATATATATTATGATAGTATTTGTATTATAATTGATTATACTATGATATAACTTGGGATAAAATGAAAAACCATTTTTTACCATTTTATTGATGTAGTTAATCCATGATATTGGATCCGAATCGATAGACAACTTTTGGGTTACACAATTCCTCCCAAATGGAATATCCTAATACTATGACCAAAAAAACAAAAAGGGCAAAAAAAAAAAAAAAAAAAAGCACTGAATGTGATAATATTTTTTTAATTCCTCAAACCCTTTTAATCATGTACAGCACGAAATAATTCTTCTCGTATAATCTTGTTGATTCAAGTGTGCGCTCCTCCAAACGTCGTCGCTTTACTTCCTGAAAACACAAATGTAAGTTAGCCGGCAGGTGTGTGCCGGAAACCCCTCCGATACTTAAGTCAGCAAATAGACAATAGACAATAGACAATAGACAAAAGCTCTGTGTATTTAGGAGTCAAAATTGTGATACTTGTACATAGGTCCTGCTATGAGCTTTTATAGATTCTATGTGGCACAATCCTAGTAAAACTCTTTATTCCTCAATGTAGAGTCCTCCTAGGAATCACATCTCTAAGAGATAATGCTTATCCCTTAACACCCTTCTCACTGCTTTAACCAAGTGAAATGGTTTTACCTCGGTAGTATGACAAAACGACTGAGCTAACATCGCCATACATAAGCGGTAGATTTAACCGAGCTTCGCCTAGCTCAGTTCCTCCCTTTGGCTTCCTGTACCTCGGTTTGGCATATTTCAACTGGGATATCTTAGTTATTTATGACCGAGCTAACTAGGCCCAATGGCGAAGTCCATTCTACTCTGCCCGCAGCTCGGCTCGCTTCTACCTAGTCTTAGCTCGGCCCAGATTTACACATTTTACCCTCTCAATTACCCCTTAATGCCATCTGCAAAGCATGATTTGGGATTATACTTCTCCAGCCGAGCTAAAAATATTCAAGCCAACCAAGCTCACCTTCCACCGGGCTACCGATGAGTCCGGTCCATAAACGTCTTTTCAATTGTTCTGCGCGTCTGAATTGTTTTTTATTCTCTTGGATGGTTGTCACAGCCGTCTTCGTACTCTACAAATTTTGAATAGTCCTGTCCTTTCTATGCCTTATACGAAAACCCTAGCTTTTGAACCAGGCACTCTATTGTTCACCTTCTCTCTCTTGCCCTCTGAGCCTCCATTTTCACAACCATAACGCCTGCAAAACTCGTGTTCTAGCCTGGCATCTTCTCCGTTTTGACCTTCATCCTTTTATCTTAAAACTGTAAGTCCCTCAATCCTTCGTTTTTTTTGTTTATTTCATGAGTATGTATAGTATAGACACGTATATATACATATATTTTCCAAAATATATTTCCATAGCTTTGCACAAGTGGGTAAGGACAATGAAAACTCAAAATACACATCCCTAGGCCATAATCACCTTAGCTGAATCCTTCATGAATCTTGAATGCGATCCTTTTGATCGAAAATAACACCATGACCGAACTAAGAGCCAGTTTGTGATAGGTGCGTACTTGACCGAACTAGCAAACCTTACCTGATAACCGAGCTAAAAAACTCATGCTTTGATCGAGCTAAGATCCTCAATGCTCAATAACAGGGCTAAAAACTCGCGCAATGACCGAGCTAAGGGTTACAACCCACTTAGCCGATCTAGAGTTTATATTTATTTATCCTTTTGTTTAGCCCGGTTCAGCTATCTGGACATAACACTTTTTATCTTCACTTTGCAGACTTTGACTAGGTTGGCCAGGCACACCTTTGCACGCTCAACCGAGATTTTCAACGTCATCTCACTACCGAGATAGGCTATCGTGCTAACTTATAAACAAATTAAGCAAAATGGGTAAATACTGGTTCTTAGTAAACTCCCCTGGGGCCATCGCCAAATTCCACAAGGATTACAACATCCCTGACGATGTCCATCTCTCACTAGCCGAACCAAATATCACATCTTGGGGAAAATCGGGCTTTGTGCCCTTTACTGTAATATCCATTATAGAAGCCGGTCTACGATTTCCCGTACAATCTCTCCTTTGTGAATTCCTTAGGCAGACAAGACTCTGACCCACCCAACTTTCCACAAATTCATATAGAATAATAAACGGCATCGTCGAACTAAACCGCCGGCTTGGCCTCAACCTCGGTTTTGGCCGAGCTATTCCATCAGTACTCCCTCGACCAAAATGAAGACGGCTGGGTGTATTATTTAAGAATAAGAAGACGCCGAGAGAAAATAATTAAAAATACACCGGACAAAGACGTGAATGACGATGAATTTTTCTAGGTTTCTGGCAATTTTGAAGACCAGGAAGCCCAGATACCGGGCTACGGTATTAACTGGAATAAAGGAACAGCCAGTATGAATACCTCGACTTAGTTTGTCCTTTTTTACTCTTGCTATTTATAAGCTTTACATCGCGCTAACCGTTGTCTTTCTCCATATGCAGACCTGAACCAGCTAAACTCACAATACCAATACCCCAACTTAGACGCTCTCCGCGTCGCGCTTCGATACCGTGATCGAGGTTGGGCCGAGCTACTCAACTTCGAACCAACCTACAAATATAGCGAAAGGAGGAAGACCAGGGTGACAGACTTTCTTCTTGAGCCATCACCTGAACCAAATCCCATACTTCCTCAAATCAAGCTGATCCCGTTAA